ACTCGACTTTTCATTTGGGAAAAATATGCTTCAGCGAAACCCGCTTTGGGCATTATGTCAGCGGAAATTAAACCTGACAGCCAATATAAAAATTTTGATAAAAAACTTTTTTTAAAAATTTCTTACAAACCACATTAATTTACACATACGATATTATTAAGTCTATATAATATGACATATTTATACAGAACCTCAAATAATAATATTATAATATCATCCGCTTTATCTTATATTATTATTCACGTCATCTTATATCTGCGTTTTAAAATCATTCACTTTATCTCTTAATATTACGTACTTCACCTTTCCATGTACAATCTAATACTTACGTATAAATACAAACATAAGTAATGTAAATTATTTATTACAGGACGTTTCAATTTATTGGTATTTTAAATGACCAAAAAAAAAAAGAAACCCATGGATCTAACAAACACTGAGCAGGTAAAAATTTATAATTTTATAAATTTTCCTTCCCTTCCATTTCTTCCCTTTCCGTCTTCTGTTTCTTCTCTTTATTCTCTTTATCTCGAAAATTTGTACAGTACACTAAACCACCCAATTATCTTTGCTACCACAATCGTTGTGCTGACGAGGTCCAATTGTGGTAGCGGAAAAAATGTATATGACTTAACGGACTGAAACATTTATTACCTATTATAAATATTTCCGTACACCCATTCCTCTTTTTTCACTTCATTTTTCTTCCTTTCTTCATTTTTTTTTTTTTTTTATTTCATCATTATCTACCTTATCCTTTAATTACAATTGCACCGATGCCTTCTAAAACTTATCATTTTAGGTAGGTCTGGAGAAGAGTGGATTAACTGAAAGTCTTTTTTCCTCCAAAAAGACAAAAATCTACCTTAAAATCGAAGGCTTTTACAATGGCATGAACAGCATCCAGAATTGAAACTTCATCCTCTTCGCCCACAGACAGAATGATTGGATCAACTTCCTGAAACAGACATAACATTCATGCACAAGCAATGCCTCTTCATTTGTAAAATCGTCTCGAAAGAGAAATTTGTAAAAGCAGTACCTCGTATGTTCGAACAACCCAAACAAACAGGCGCGCTAAATCCAAAGAATAAATAAACTGCCGTAACGGTGTACCACTGCCGTACACCTAAGACACAAATAAAAATGTTGATGATGCACATAAAAATCCAACAAACTCACAGTACACATCACTAAATCGACCCTGCCAGTGGGATAACCAAATCCGCAACAGCACACTCCTTTGTTTTTCTTTTTTTTTTCGACGGTAAATCAATAGCAGCGTGTTCCAAGAGTTGAAACTGCGGTCAACTCACTTCTGGTCAATTCCCCGAGAATGTCTTGCCCGTAGGAGACTCCTGTTGGCACATGCCACTTCCAAGCACTTTCGTCTCTTATACGTTTACGTAAGGGAGGAGAGAAATAAAGGACAAATGGGAGATTAACTTTCACTTTTGAGCTTGCAACAGAGTCTGCACTCACAGCTAGAACTGAAAAAGCACGCTGAAATTGGAGCCTCTTATTTTTGCCTTAAATTTAACATCTGAATAGCATCGTTCAAACGAATTTGGCCAACAAAACGCTGGATTTAGTAGTCGTCTTTTTTTCTTATCATCTAAACCGGTAATTTTAGCATCACCTGACCCAAAAGAAGAGAGCGAGCGCAACTGTGTAAAAAGAGCACCTCCAGTGGCTTCCCATCGCGTTTAGCAATGTAAGTTTTATGAATCAGCGCTGGAATAACGTGCCCATCGTTCAGATTATAGTTATCATGCGGCCCAAATACATTGCACGGTATTACCGATGTATACTTCCTGCAACGTGTTCGAGAAGTTCAGTGATCTTGGGAGCAGCTGCTGTGAAAAGATACTCAATCCATGCCGTTCATAAATTTGAATACACTGGCCATAGAAACTCACTTACCGTCCGAATTCCTGGGCATAGCCCTTGTTCAGCACATCGATCATTCTTTTTGCATACGAATAACCGAAATTGCTAGTATGAGGGGGCCCGTTGTGTACCTGCAAAACCAGTTTTCGATAATTTCTCTTCCGCAAATTTTCGTCGATTTAACATAAACTCCCTGATGCATGGATGAAGCATGAAAAATGAAAGGTACCATAGTCTCATCGATAGGATAAGTTGTTTTGTCGGGAAATACGCAGGTTGAAAGACATGAGATACACTTCACAACATCGAACTCATTGCATGCTGCCAACACATTGTCATTGATTTGCTGCAAAAGTTTCACCAAAAATTTTCATTATTCTCATACAAATCAACCGACCCAGAACTATTTCCCACAGTTCAGCCTTCCCTTTTTCCTTCATCCAACTACATAAATTTGATGAAAACTCGAACTGTATAAAGAAACTGTGAAATGTCTAGCACTTTTCCTCGGAAGGAATGAAAAGGGAAGCGAAAGCTGATTTCATCAGCCTCCGACTGCTAGGTGGAGCAATTCCGATCGCAGCAATCACGGAACGGTGAAAGTTGCCCCAGGTGATACCAAAATATGCTGAAGAACCAAAACCTGCATATTCTGTATGCCTTCCAGATCGACCTTCGGTATTTTACCAAGAAAATTTTGGAATATGCGAACTACAGTTCTCGAATTAAATGTGTGCAGAAAAAAAAACTGCGTATTTGTTGGCGTGCGCTCATCAAAACGTTAGAGGAAGGAAATCCTTCTATTTCAACTTCAAAATCAAATACTGTCATTTTTCAGCCACCTACAACAGTCTGAAATATGTGGCACCCTTAATGCAGAACTTCTGTACAGTGCAAACCTTCTAACATCAATTTTTTTTTCTTTCGCAGTCTCCAAAGTTCATTTTTATCAGCTTCTGTTCGTAAAGGCATATGACTGGTATCACTTTCTTTTGAATTTCTACCCGCCACAGTGGTGCTCAAAAAAAGACCATATTCACTCCAACCACTGTTCAGTTGAGATACCTCTTACAACTACCGAATATGCTTGCTAAGCACTTATTCTGGACTTGGAAAAGGGCCTTTTTGTTTATTTTTTGTTTTGTCTTCTCTTTTCTCGTTTGTCTATTCAGCTCCACAACTGAATCTAATAGTTCCTTTGCCTGACCTACTTTTCTCTTTCCAGCCTTAGCTTACACTTCGCACATTCCTACAGAATGCAGCACCTTCCTTAATTTTTGCAAATTTAGCCTCTCACAATTTCATTTCGTTACTTGCTGCCTTCAACAAACCCCCGAATGAACCAGGTATACCACCCACAAAACACTATCCATCAGCAATTGTTCAACTCCATGCTTTTTGGTGGAAAAATGAGGGGGGTTATGAGGCTCCGCCATGGTGTATCGGTAACGTGTTCCAATGAGGGCAGAAATAGCTCGAGTTCAAAGCCGGGCAGACTATGATGAAAACACTAGAGTCTCTGATTCCAGAATGACTTAAAAACTTGCTCATCTACAGAGTCTGCCTTTCTCAGCTCTTTTTTGAATGGAGTCATTGTAAAACAAGAAATTGTTTTCTTACTCAAATCGTCAGTGAAGATTATCCCATGGCCCGCAAAAACACATTTTTAGCAGAGCCGCTCTTTTCGAGCTTAGAGCAAGGATAAAAAAGTACTGACA